GTTGTCAAAACCCAGGGCTTTTTTTGTAGCAGGAACTCCTTTGCATGTTAGGCCACACACCCCTAATGTAGCCAATCCTAATGAGTTTCTGCTGTTGGGTGTGGCCTATTATGCTAATGAGTTCCTGCTGGGCGTGGCCAACTTGGGAGCCAGCTGGAACTCCGTTCCTGTGCGTTCCTGCCCAAAAATAGCCCTGGCCCGTGCTGGAGGGCGGGAACATCCCAATACATATAGCTGGGCAAGACTATTAGCTAAGCAGATGAACTTCGAGCGCGCGCGTGGGACGACTCCCGGCGGGAGATTGCATAATGAGCGGGAGAGTCGCAGGGTGACCGATCTCTGTCGCCTGGCGACCATTCCAAGAGAGCCAGGCCCCACCTGGAGGTTGAAGCAACCCGAGCTGCAGTGTTAGGAGAGTCTAGTAACAAATAAATATACACGGCAGAAACCTTTTAACAAACTAATGCGTTCTGTTTATGGCCATCATTTAGTAAAGTGCATAGTGTGTCATTGTTTCATCCTAGTCAGGTATAAGTATTCATTACATTCAATAAGCAATAACATTCAGTACATACAGATTGCTTTGGGGTAGGGGTTGTGTTTCGGTGGCCGAGGAGCAGCTTTGTGAGCTTTTCTGCTAGCTGTCCTCTTGGTCCTACATGGTGTAGTGGTTAAGTGCGTGGACTCTTCTCTGGGACCCCACTCCTCCACTTGTGGCTGCTGGATGACCTTGGGCAAGCCGTAGTTCTGCCAGAGCTGTTCTTGAAAAAAGAGCAGTTTCTGTCAGACCTCTCTCAGCCCCACCTACCTCACAGGGATTCTGTTTTGGGGAGGGGAAGGGAGAGGAGTTTGTAAGCCGCTCTGAGACTCCCTTGGGTAGTGAAGGGCAGGGTATAAATACAATCTCTTCTTCTTTTACCTCACAGGGTGTCTGTTGTGGGGAGGGGAAGGGAAAGGAGTTTGTAAACCACTCTGAGACTCCCTTGGGTAGTGAAGGGCAGGGTATAAATCCAAACTCTTCTCTTCTTCTTCTTGGCCAGCTACCCCAGGCTGTTTCCTATCACCCGCCTTCAAAGGATCTCAGGTATTCAGGAAGGCCTTTCTCTGTGGGAGCCGCTGCCACCGCTGCCAGCCAGAGCAGAGGAGACCGAGCTAAATGGGCCTGGGGTCTGATTTGAGATTAAGGTGGTTTCTTCCTGCCAGGAGCATAAGAAGAACAGAAGAAGCGATTGGATTTATGCCCGGCCCTTCACTACCCAAAGGAGTCTCAGAGTGCCTTACAATTTCCTCTCCTTCCCTCTCCCCACGACAGACATCCTGTGGGGTAGGTGGGGTTGAGAGAGCTCTTTTGAGGACTGCTCGTGAAAGAACAGCTCTGAGAGAACTTGTGACTGACCCAAGGTCACACCAGGAGCTGCATGTGGAGCAGTGGGGAATCAAACCCGGTTCTCCCAGATTAGAGTCCGCGCTCCTAACCACTACACAAACTGGCTCTCTTTGGTAGGCCGTGTCAGAAATCCCTGGCTTCTCCAGCCACAAGGATCTTGGGTGCTGTGAAAGACGGGCTTGGACTTCTCAATTTCCCCAGGGTGGGGTGGGGGGTACACGGGGCTGAACCCATCCAGGCCCAAACTTAGCAATCGATATCAAATTCTTTAAATATGAAATTAATTATATTTCCAAGTACCATATGCCGCCAACAATTAATCCTGTGGTTTTACAAACATAATCTTTTCCACTCGTAAGAGTCTCAGTCCCAGTCAAAGATAGATGTCGTGAACTCCTTCACTAAGACAATTTGAGTAAATATTTCATCTCTGTATGAAAAAAAATAATCCCCCCCCATTTTAGGCTGAGTGCGTGGCTGGCCCAGGGTCACATACTGTGCATCGTATCTAAGTGGGGAATTGAACTCTCGTCTTTTCAGTCTTGTACCAACGCTCTAACAACTACGCCACTCGCACATTGGATACTGAGTATGAATCTCCAAATGCCCCTCTCAGAATCCACTGTAAATCCACAGTAACTTCCTTCAGTTGTTCCATAATAAATGCAATCTCATCAGCAAAAGCTAATAGTTTGTATTCGTCTCCTTTCAATTTTAGTCCAATAATCTCTTTATCCCTTCTTATTACGTTGTTTAATACCTCTAAGGCTAGGATGAATATAAGAGGAGATAGAGGGCATCCTTGTCTAGTCCCCTTTTGGATCTTAAAAGTGTTTGTCAGTTTGCCATTCACCATTACTCTTGCTCTTTGTTCGTTATATATAGCTTGAATCATCTTAATAAAGTTTTCACCTGCTTCCACCATTCGCAATGTCTCTGTGATGAATGGCCAATTAACATTGTCAAATGCTTTCTCTGCATCCAAGAATACCAGAGCTAATTGTTTACCATTATGTTTTTCATAATATTCAAGGATATTCATTAGGCATCTGAGGTTATTTCTCATCTGTCTTTTAGGTAGGAATCCTTAACGATTTCTCTCTTCTTCCCCCCCCCCCCTGTGCCGAATTTCTCTGTGGGGGAGTACTGAGTTTTGTACAGGCTGGGTCTTTCAAACCCAACCCCTGTTTTTCTCTTGCAGCCGTTTGCAGAATGGTGCCAGCTGGACCCCAAGGATGCCACAAAGGTGCCGGAGAGCATCTGGAAGCTCCTCTACTACCTGTTCTCTTGGTCGTACAGTACTTACCTGCTCTTCTTCACCGGCTACCCCTTTTTCTACGACCCGCCCTCCGTCTTCTATGGTAAGTGGCTTCCTCCTGTTCCAACATCCACTTCACCTGGAATGGAATTCAGAGCTGACTTGGAATGTAGAGAAGCGTTTCTGAGATCGGAAAGTTACTTTCCAAGCATCATTCTGCTTTTCGGTTTGGCCTTTTGCATTGTTTGGGAAGCAGGCACAGGTGTCTTTTGTGTTGCTTCTGCTGGTTTGTTGTTCACGGGGTTTTTTTTTGGTTTTTTACGTATTAGGGTGCCTTTTTAAGTAGTCCTTTAAAGATATGTTGTCGAAGGCTTTCACGGCTGGAGTTCATTAGCTGTTGTAGATTTTCCGGGCTGTATGGCCGTGGTCTTGGCATTGTAGGACCTGACGTCTCACCAGTAGCTGTGATTGGCATTCTCAGAAGTATAACACAGAAAGATGGAGTCCTCTCTGTGTCAAGGTGGAATCTGTGTTATGCCCAGGGGTCATTTCGTAGAAAAAGAGGTGCAGGAGCTCATTAGCATAACTCATTAGGATAACTTATTTGCATATGCCACACCCCCTGACATCGCCGGAAGTGTGTCAGAAGGCAACACCCACTGCTCAGGCTCCACTGGACTGTTTTGGATTGTTAGCTATTGGGGGGGGGGACGCGCAGATCCTTGTGCTCCTCGTGGCCCGTGGCTGCTGGGAGAAGGGAGCGGGGCTTGTTGCACGTGCTCGCCCCCTGGGCTCCTTACTGCCAGAGCTCCACTCCTGTGCACTCCTGCAGGAAATGAGCCCTGGTTATAACTGAGGATGCCAGTCACAGCCACCGGCAAAATGTCAGGGACTACAATGCCAAGGCCATGGCCATACAACCCGGAAAATCGACAACAGCTAGTCCTTTTAAGCTTGCAAACTGGATATATGTATAGAAAATCCCACCCTGACCTGCCTGGCCCAGTCTAGCCCAATCTCATCAGTTCCGGGAAGCTAAGCAGGGTCAGGCCCGGTCAGAGGCAGGCAGCAGCCAACCACCTCTGATCTGCTCTCGCCTTGAAGACTTCAGGGGGTTGCCATAAGTTGGCTGCGTCTCGATGGCACTTCCCACAACCGCCACAGAAGATACCAGCAAGGTATCGCTGCAGTTCCACAGGGCCTGTAAGGCAGGGATATTTTGCCAGGTGTTTGGTTGAGGACAAGGCCAGTTCACATCTGTCTAGCACTCCCGTTTCTTGCCCCCCCTCGGGAGAGAGTGGCGCAATCTGAAGTTTGCTAGCGGCGCCAGGGCTCTTTTTGTAGAAAAAGCCCAGCAGGAACTCATTAGCATAATAGGCCACACCCAACAGCAGAAACTCCATTACCATATTAGGCCACACCCTGACAGCACTGCTCATTAGCACATTAGGCCACACCCCCATGTTACCAGAAGTGTGGTCATCCAGCCACACCCACCTTTTGCTTCTTATTCTGTTTACCTTGTTTGTTGTCAAAACCCAGGGCTTTTTTTTTGTAGCAGGAACTCCTTTGCATGTTAGGCCACACACCCCTAATGTAGCCAATCCTAATGGGTTTCTGCTGTTGGGTGTGGCTTATTATGCTAATGAGTTCCTGCTGGGCGTGGCCAACTCAGGAGCCAGCCGGAACTCCGTTCCTGTGCGTTCCTGCCCAAAAATAGCCCTGGCTAGCGCCATCTAATTTGGTTAATCGTTGCCGGGGGGTGGTTTTATTGCTTGAACCGTGAATTTAATTTACAAATGTGACTCTGCAGTTGTACACGGCCCTGAGCCCTGTCCTTCAGGGGAGGACAGTCTAGAAATCTAATTTAATAAATAAGTAAATAGGAAGGGGGTGGGCAATTAGACACGGGTGCTGTGCATGTCGAAAATCGAAATTAATCAATGCCCTTGGAGACTGGCATTTTGTTTGTAATCGTCCTGTTCTTGGAAGCATTTTTTCCTTTTGAGCAGGTGATGCTCCCGGGGGTTTCCCACGGCTCAGCAGTAGGGTTGCCAGCCTCCAGGTGGGGCCTGGAGATCTCCCAGTATTAAAATTGATCTCCAGCTCCCCTGTTCAGATCAGTTCCCCTGGAGAAAACGACTGCTTTGGAGGGTGGAGTCTATGGCAATATACTCTCTGCTGAGGCTCCTCCCCTCCCCAAATTCTGCTTCCCCCCCAGGCTCCACCCCCAAAATCTCCAGGTATTTCCCAGCCTGGAGCTGGCATCCCTAAATGGTAGAACATCGCCAATGTTTTTAAAAAAATGCCCCCAGATGTAGGTGGTATGAAAGACCTCTACGTGAGATAGAGCCAGGGGTCATTTCCTGCAGGAGCGCACAGGAGCGGAGCTCCGGCAGTAAAGAGCCCAGGGGGCGGGCACATGCAACAAGCCCCACCCTCTGCTCCCAGCAGCCCTCAGGCAGAGCAAGAAGCAGCCAGGTAAGCTGCACAGCCCCCCCCGGCCCAAAACAGTCCAGTGGCACCTTTAAGACCAAGTTTTATTCCGGTACAAGCTCTCCCTCCTCTGCAAGGACAGATCTGTACGTTCCCCCCCCCCGCCCAATAGCTAGCAATCCAAGAGTTCAGTGGAGCCTGAGCGGTGGGTGTTGCTTTCTGACACACTTCCGGTGATGTCAGGGGGTGTGACATATGCAAATAAGGTATGCTAATGAGTTATGCTAATGAGCTCCTGCACCTCTTTTTCTACGAAATGACCCCTGGATAGGGTTGCCAGGTCCCGGGGGGGGGGACACCCACGCTCGATGGGTCTGTTACCCGCCGGCCCGCATCGGGCTGCTGGGGGAAACCCCACCCCCAAAGTGCCGGGATCGCGGAGACGTGCCCGGCGTGATGACATCACTCGGAGGTGAAGTCATCCTGTCGGGCACGTTGCGGGGGGACGCTCTATCATTCGAGGGAAAACTCTATGTTTTCCCCTTGAATTATAGTGGTCCCGCCCCCCAATGTGCCCGACGGGATGATGTCACTTCCGGGTGATGTCATCGCAGCACGCGTGCGTTGTGCGCACACCAAGGAACTCCCGGAGAGGGCCAGGACTGCAGCTACGGTAGGACTTGGCAACCCTAACTTGAGATGCAGGAGAGCAGCTGCCAGTCTGAGTAGACAATACTGACCTTGATGGACCAAGGGTCTGATTCCGTATAAGGTGGCTTCGTGTGTCCCCCACCCCCAGTCTGTACTTTGTTGCAGCAGTGTCTCCTAGTGGTCACAGCATGGAATAGTTCAGTTCTCAAAGTTCACCGCTTGCGCTTCCGGGTGGATGAGACCACTTCTTGGCCCCGAGGGGGGGGTCATTGGGGGCGCTGAGTTGAATTTCCATCCCGGATCCGTTTTTTTCTGCTGCTGGACTGACCTTGCTTTGTCGCCCTCCTTTCCGCCCAGATTGGAGGAAGGGCATGGACGTGCCGACAGACATCGCCGTGGCCTACTTGATGCAGTGCAGCTTCTATTGCCACTCGATCTACGCCTCCCTCTACATGGACGCCTGGCGCAAGGACTCGGTGGTGATGCTCATCCACCACGTGGTCACCCTTGTCCTCATTGCCCTCTCCTATGTCTTCAGGTGAGTCCCGGGCTCGTTCATTTCCCGCCTCCCGACTTCGTCCTCTGTTGCCTTCCCCCTCAACCTTCCCTCTGAGCTGGTGCGGCGCAACAGAATGTTCACAAACATCCTACGTGGAGAGGTCAGTGTTGCAGTGCCAAAAGTCACTTGCGGCTGTCCTGTTGCATCCTTAAACGTCCCGCCTCTCCAGGGCTCTGAACCAATCCTTGTAGCTTAGGCCTCATGTAAATCCGAGCCGATTTGTTAGCCAGTCAGAGCCCGTGGAACTCCGCTGGATGGGAGGGGCTGAGCCCGCCTCAGCTTTAAAAAGGGGAGGAAAACAGGTCTTCCCTCAGACAGAGAGTTGAGGCTCTGGATAAGAGCGTCACTTTAGCCAGGGTTTTTATTCAGCATTTAGTTAGGGTTTGAGGGTCAGCTGAGGGAAGAAAGCTTATTTCAGCGGGACAAATAAACATTCTGTTAAGGCCCCATCATTCATAAGCGGTATGTGAGGTTCTGTAGAAAGGTGTTCTGCTTGAAAGAAAAGAGCCGCCTTGAACTTGCGGAGATAACGAGGAATTTCAGACAGGCGATATATTTCAGAAGAGGAACGGTTCCCAAACGGTTTCTGGTCTGTCATTTCAGACAGAACCGTTTGAGAACCGGTTCCCTTCCGGAATATATTTGTCATTTCATACACAATCGCTTCTGTCCTGTTTAGGAAACGGGGCTGAAGCGTTTTACCTGTCAACCGCTTCCAAGTACTCCTCAGTTTCCTCTCCCGGTTCCGATGCGCTTTTTCCCGCCGTTTTTTGCCCGCGTGGGCGATCTCCAGCTTTTTTTGGGAACGTTTGCTTTATAGTGTTATAGCCCTATAGTGCTATAACAGAATAGCATTATATCAATCCCATTGGAATGCATGTAGTGTTTTGTTATACTGCTATAGCGCTCTAAAGCGAACGTGTTTTTTTTAAAAAAAAGCCGGAGATCGCCCGCACGGGCGAAAAACGGCGGAGGAAAAGCGGGAAAAAGCGATGCAGTCTGAAATGGCAAACCGCTTCAGATCCAGCTCTTTACCGGAAGGGGAAAGCCATGTGTGAAATGGCAGCCCTATACCGGTTCACTTCAAAACGGATCATTACCGGCTTGAAACCGGGTGAAACTGGGTAATATGAAATTCCCCAACCTGTCCAGAGAAAGGGGAACCAAATTCCCCTTCAGTATTTATTTCCTTTACTTGGGAGCCAGTTTCACTTTATAGATTGAAGTCATCCACACATAACAATTGCCCTATTCCATTCTCTATTAAATAAACCTTTGTTGTTCATCTCCACCTGGGTCTTGTCTGTCGAGTCAAAAAACTAAGAAGCAGGGGTGTCTAGTTACCTCACACAGAAGTGCCCCTTTGGTCTAGCAGGTTTCCAAATATGAGGCCTGTAGGGAACACATAGATTATACACTACCAGGGCTTTTTTTTTGTTACGTTTTGTGTTTTGTTTTGGAAAAAGAGGTGCTAGAACTCTCAAGAGGGAAATGAAGTTTTCAATCTGTATACTGAAAACTCATCAACTTTTAAACATTTTAAAATGAATTTTTGTGAAGAGTTTTGTGAACTGTTTTCCGGCGCGTTCCCCCAGAAAAGAAGCCCTGCACACGACTATCCCTTTATTCAAAAATTGTGCCCCACGTTTGGTTTGAGAACCTGTTTGGTGTAGTGGTTAAGTGTGTGGAGAACCGGGTTTGATTCCTCACTCCTCCAATTGCAGCTGCTGGATGACCTGGGGCATGCCATAGTTCTGTCAGAGCTGTTCTCTCAAGGACAGTTCTGGAAAAAGCTCCCTCAGGCCCACCTACCGCACAGGGTGCCTGTTGTGGGAAGGGGAAGGGAAAGGAGACTGTAAGCTGCTCTGAGACTCCAAGTGAAGGGCGGGGTATAAATCCAATCTCTTCTTTTCTTCTTCTTCTTGATTGTGGGTGATTGGGGTTTTAAAAACCTGTAGGAGAGGCCAGAGTTTCATTCCAGAAGTTCCTCAGAGCCTTCTCCCCACCCCATCACTGCCACACCTGAGGACCAAAATAGTTTGATCTGGCTGAACCAGAAGGCAGAAGTCCTTGGGGATGGGTACGCAATGCTCCCTCTAAGCTGTGGCGTCCTGTGAGCAAAAATTGTACTTTGTGAGCTACTGGCATTAAAGTTGTGAGCGAGCGATTTGGCTCCTGCATAAATTAATTTGCTCTGGAGCCCTCCTTCCTGAGCTAAGACAAAAATGTGTGAGCTGGAGGCTAATAAACTGTGAGCTAGCTCACATTAACTCAGCTTAGAGGGAACAATGGATGGGAGTTGCCAGCACTGGTGGGGCAGGTATGTAGAGGGAGAGTCTGGATTTGTTATTTCATCACATCTTTGTCTTGCTTTTCTGCCAGAATTGTCTACCAAGGTGTTCATTACAAAATATTTCTTTTCTAGAGCTTGAGGGAGGGGTTTTTGGCTGCCTCCCATTGGTAAAAACTGATCTCTGATGGGAGGGATGTTGGCTATTAGTTTAAGATAATTGGCTGTATTTTTGACCTACAAGTCCGTGGGAGGTTTTTTATTTATTTATTTATTCTTTGGATTTGTATCCCGCCCTGCCCGAAGGCTCAGGGCGGCTAACAAGGGCAAATGCCAGATTATAACAATAAAAACAACATAAATACAGTAAATACAGAATACTACAGTTAATTAAAATTAGTAAAAAATAAAATGTTGGTGCTCCAATACTCACTCCGAATCAGAAAACCAAGATGGTGTTCTGAAGGTGTTACAGCTGAACCACAGCAGCAATATATGTCCCCACAACCCTGTCGTCCACTAGGGACGTCCCACACCCCCGATGATACCCGCACCAGCGGTGGTAGAGTGCGGTGATGGAAAGGCGTTGATGGAATAATGGTGGCGGTGGCTCCTACTCGAAAGCCTGGTGGAAGAGCTTCGTTTTACAGGCCCTGCGGAACTGTACAAGGTCCCGCAGGGCCCGGATCTCTTCTGGGAGCTCATTCCACCAGGTAGGAGCCGCCACTGAAAATGCCCTGGCCCTGGTCACAGCAAGTTTGATGGTCTTGGAGCCTGGAATATCCAGGAGATTTTGGCTCCCCGACCGTAGTGCCCTTGGCAAACTGGACACTGGGTGGGGGGGGAGAGAAAATCCTGTCTTCCTGACATTGGCCTCAAAGAGAGTCCTTCAGCAAAAAGTTGTCGCTGCCATTCCCATTTTACAGATGGGAAAACTGAGGCTGCAGTCGGTAAAGCCAGTGGGCAAGAGAAACCGAATTCTCAAGGTGCAAGGATTCAGTTCTTCCCCATCTCACAGCATAGGATGATTTAGGCACATTTTAAAATAATATTTATGCTCAGTTCTGTTCTTCTGGGAACCACTCTGACAACTTCTACACCCACTTGACATTCACAGGTCCCTGGGCATTCATGGCAGATCACATTTATTTATTTGAGATATGTGCCTCCTGTGCTCATTTTGGAAACGGGGGGGGGGGACTTCCAAGGGTGCTTATGATATCCATTAAATGCAAAATGGGACCGGCAGCATGGAATAAAATCGGATAACACATCAGTGAAGATGATGTTTGTAAAACTCATATGAGAAAAAAGGTGGCTGAGAATAATTTTTTTAAAATTAGCAATAATTTTAAAAGGTAAAGGTTCCCTTGCTCGAAAGCCAGTCGAGTCCGACTCTAGGGTTGCGGTGCTCATCTCCGTTTCAAAGCCGAAGAGCCAGCGTTGTCCGAAGACGTTTCCGTGGTCAGGTGGCCGGCATGACTAAACACCAAGGCGCATGGAACGCTGTTACCTTCCCACCGAAGTGGTACCTATTTATCTACTTGCAATTTCTTGCTTTCGAACTGCTAGGTTGGCAGGAGCTGGAACTAGAGACGGGAGCTCACTCCGTCATGCGGCACACTCGGGTCTCGAACTGCTGAACTACCGACCTTCCACAGCCTGCAGTTCAGCAATAATTTACCAGTCAGCAATAAAACACCTGAAAGCCCAGCAGATGGAAAACAGGGCAATGCTTTAGGTTAAGGAGGGGGGTGGGAAAGCTGATGAACTAGCAAGGCGGGACAGAAAGAAGGTGCTGGTGGAATATAAAAAATATCTTCACCTGGTATCTAAAAGACTGAAGCAGATTGCCAGGAAGGAGGGATTGGTGAAGTTTTAGCATTGCAAAAGAAAAAATATACTGGGGCATGCAGGATTATGAGGTTAGATTATTGGGTTAGAGAGCCAGTTTGTAGTGGTTAAGAGCACAGTCTCTAATCTGGGAGAACTGAGTTTGATTCCCCACTCCTCCACATGCAGCTGCTGGTGTGACCTTGGGTCAGTCACAAGTTGTCTCAGAGCTGTTTTCTCATGAGCAGTCATTTCAGAGCTCACTCAGCCCCACATACCTCACAGGGTGTCTGTTGTGGTAAGGGAAAGGAGATTGTAAGCCGCTCTGAGACTCCAAATGAAGGGCGGGGTATCAATTCAATCTCTTCTCTCTCTTCTTCTTATCTTGCCATAGAATTTAGGTAGCCTGCAGAGGGTTGTGAAGATGGTGGGTGGGGGGGTGTACATGAAACTGCCTCGTTGATCATCTGAGTGGGCTTCTAGCTTCATTCGTACATCTCTTTGTTAACTCTTGCATTTTCGTGCCAATTTGGTGCTACCCATTGATCTTACTGGCCTCCTGATCCAATTTCAGCTCCGCATATGCCTCTTGGCTCTGGGTGGCCCGCCTACCAGCTGCCCCCCACCCTCTTTTTCACAATTTAATATAATATATTAATGTAATATAATGATAAAGAGTCACCATTGTCAACAAGGGAGTGCAGAGAACCATTAAATAAAGATAGTAATAAAGGCAGGGGTGTCAAACTCATTTGTAATGTGGGCCGGATCTGACATTAAAGAGACCTTGTTGGGCCGGGCCATGTGTGTCATAAAATGTAATGCCCGGTAGCGGAGATATAAACTTTATAAAGGACACAGACAAACACAATTAAAGATTATCTAAACTTTAAATAAAACCTGCTTAAACCTCTTGCAGTATTTTGTCTATTTAACAGTGTCTGTTAACTGACACCTCTTGCTCTGAATTTTTGCATCAAAACGTCTGTGCTGTAGCAATCTTGGGTATGCTGTTCAAGTGTGTATCTGTAAGCCGCAAACCTTGCACAGGAGAGGCTTGCCTATCTATCTCTCCTGTGCAATTGAGAGGCTGGTAAACTAAGCTGTGATGTAGCAGCAGCAGAACTGGAAAAGGAAGCAGGAAATAGCCAGGGCCTTGTGGGCCAGATTGCAACCCTCTGAGGGCCTGATCCGGCCCCCAGGCTGCATGTTTGACACCTTTGATTTAAGGCCTATTCCACTATTCACTGTATATATGAAAGCTTACCTCACCACTGTGCAAAGATGCCACATTAACAAAAGATATGCACCCTGATCAAAAAAAATCTGGGTATGGCACTGACCGGAATACCCACTTTGTCAGATATTGCCAGTACTTGGCACAGGGTTCTCCAATGGGCACTGTGGCCCCCACCAACACCTTTCCTGGTGCCAACCAAGTGTCTTTAGAATGTGGGAGGGGGGCCAGGTGGAGCTTTTGCCAGCTCATGAAAAGGGGATGACCAGCTCTGATACCAGACAAATGAAGAAATGAAGAGAAGAAGAGATTGGATTTATACCCCGCCCTTCACTATCCAAAGGAGTCTCAGAGCGGCTTACAAACACCTTTCCCTTCCCCTCCGCACAGCAGACGCCCTGTGAGGTAGGTGGGGCTGAGAGAGCTCTGAGAGAACTGCCATTTCAAGGACAGCTCTGACAGAACTATGGCTTGCCCAAGGTCATCCAGCAGCTGCAAGTGGAGGCGTGGGGAATCAAACCCGGTTCTCCCAGATTAGAGTCTGCACACTTAACCACGACCCCAAACTGGCTCTCAAAGGAAAAGGTGGAAACTCTCCCCCTCAAAACTTTTAAGACACGTAATGATACTCATAGGAATATATTAAACACATTGAATGTGTAAACATATACAGCACTTCAAAAGAATGTAATTCACATCAGAGAGTCACGCAGACCACATAATGATGATTCTTGAAGTAATACAATCCAAAATAGTCTACAAGCACAAGCCCTCGTAGGGGCAATAACAGTCCATAAAGTGTAGTATACCCTGACGGTATTGTACGTAATATTAAGACCATTTTGAAGATTATCCTTCATCAAAGGGTATAGTGAGTCAAGGTAGGTACAATGACCATGCACAAATCGAAATGCTATTTCTTATTAAGTGGAGTCCAAGGCCTCTTAGCAAATTCACAACTCAGTGGTATCAAATCTAGCAGGCAAATAGACTCTAGACAGTATTTTCTCTATGGACTGTTATTGCCTGCAGGCTCAAAAAGGTTGGGGACTCCCATTTTAGCATTTAGACTTTATTGATAATGTTCAATCTTAATCTGTAATCCCTAGGACAGTGGTGGCGAACCTATGGCACGGGGGCCAGAGGTGGCACTCAGAGCCCTCTCTGCGGGCACGCGTGCCATCGCCCCAGCCAGGCCCAGACCATCATTAAAGTGTCGAATTCTCTGCCAAATAATTTTAAGTAAATGAAAGCATTTGGGATTGCTTTCCTTACTTTGTTTGGATCATCTTAAATTAATGTATGAGTTGTTTTTTCTAAAGTAAAACCTCCGTATTCAGGTTCAATTGCCGTGTTGCCACTTTGTGATAAATAAGTGGGTTTTGGGTCGCAGTTTGGGCACTCGGTCTCTAAAAGGTTCGCCATTAATGCCCTAGGATGATTTCCTGAGGTTAGATCAGCACCAGTGTTCCCTCTAAGCTGAGTTAGTGTGAGCTAGCTCACCGTTTTTTATCCTCCGGCTCACACATTTTTGTCTTAGCTCAGGAAGGAGGGCTCCAGAGCAAAGTAATTTATGCAGTAGCCAAATTGCTTGCTCGCCACTTTAATACCAGTGGCTCACAAAGTAGAATTTTTGCTCACAAGACTCCACAGCTTAGAGGGAACATTGAGCACCATACTGCGGATGGTGGAGTGGCTTATCCAAGCCCACCTGGCAAGTTTATGGCAGGGGTGAGATTTGCGGTGGGGTCTTCCTGGTTCTCCAGCTTGACCACGCCAACCTGGTCCTCTCCTCCTCATCTTCTGTCCGCCCGGCAGGTACCACAACGTGGGCATCCTCGTGCTCTTCCTTCATGACATCACCGACGTTCAGTTGGAGTTCACCAAGCTCAACGTTTACTTCAAGTACCGTGGAGGGGTCTATCACCCCCTGAACGACTTCATCTCAAACATCGGTTGCGTCTCCTTCAGCATCAGCTGGTGAGCTTGCCTCCCCCTTCCAGGCCCCATAACTAGCCATTGTTCCATAGGGATAATGAGACCCTAGTGGTTAGAGCAGAGGTCCCCCAATCAGGGCTGGCTCACTCACTAGGCGAACTAGGCGGCCGCCTAGAGTGGGACGTCCCTTAGGGGCACCAAACTGCACCCGGCCCCGTACTCTGGGAGTTTCTTATTTGTGTTTTTCATTCTTCCTAAAATGCATTTATTTTTTAAAATTGGTGGGCGCGGGGGGGGGGGGGGGAGAAGGGATCCTCGCCTAGGGTGCAAAATAAGCTGGAGCCGGCCCTGCCCCCAATGTGGTTCCTTTGGGGGCCATGGCACCTGCCAACATGTTTCCCGGCGCCCCCCCCCCAAGTACTTTTAGAAAGTGGGCTTTTGCCCAGCAAGGCTTCTGTGATTTGATTGGCTGTGTGGATTGCTGCTTTCTTCACTGGGTGATTGAAGCTAGCCCAGGGGGCCATTTTGGTGTGCCGTGTGTGTGTGTGTTTTTAATGGAATAATTTTTATTATTAATGAATATAAAACCATTGATACCGACATAGATTCCCAAACAATACAAACTATGTAACATTAATAATATTCTTGATCGTCTGTTCAGTCTATATCTATCTACAGCTTAACTATTTAAAACTCTTAACATGTTTTCTAATAATACAGTCGGGTTAGCAACCAGCTTATATAAATGAAAGAATCTGAGTTCAGCTAGCTAGTATTTACTAACAAAAATTAAAACTGTAATGTATTCAGAAGCTGCCCTGAATGCATTAAGATGAACGTGAATCATCTCATAGGGAAGCTATGTTAAGCTTCGTCTTGGCCAGGGATTCGCGCCAAGACTAGTGCGACCAATCACATTCAAACAGACGGGAAGCGGGAACGCTTGTGATTGGACTATATGCGCTCAACCTGATAGGTTGATATCTGTATAGGAGGTGTGGCTACATTAGCCCGGAATGTTTAAATACCGAGCAGCTGCAATGGAATAGCTGTTCGGGCTATCGAATGTTGTACCGTGTTGGAGAAGTGATCATCGAGCTGAATAAACCTGAGTTTTTGCTGAAATCACTCTCTGACTATTTGTTAAGCACCAGACTTAACAAAAACATACTGTAAGTCTAGGGTTTGTAGAATAAACACTTCAGATGAAACTAAGTAAGCAGGAGCAGTTCTATTCCGTGCCATGTAACTTCTGACCGGAAAACATTTTTCGAATAAAGCTGATTGATAGTTTTTACGTTCAAGTTGTAACAGTCTATTTGTAATTTTTTCTAAAGTATAACACTCCCATATCTTAGACATCCATAACGGTACTGAAGGCGCCGATTTGTTCTTCCGCTTTGAAGCTGTCGCTGTCTTTGCGGCAGTTAATAATGTGACAATCAAACTCTTCCATATTTGTGGTTTTGGAAGATCTTCCCATAGATGAAGCAGTATTAGCTCAGGTCGTAAAGGGAGTGAATACCCTGTTATTAACAGGATCAGTTTCAGTACCTGTTGCCAAAACTCAACAATGTAATAACATGTCCACCAACAATGATAGTATGTCCCCTCCTCACCACACAATTTCCAGCATTTCAGATTTTTAGAGGCATTTTATACGATGTAATTGTATGGGGGTTAAATACCAATGGGTGATTAGGCAGTTTGTGACTGACTGCCTCCTTTGGCAGCCATTTTGTGACTGACTCTGCCTCCTCCGGCAGCCATTTTGTGGCGGCACTCACCACACTCTGCCAGAATTCCAAAGGTGTCCACAAGCTCAAAAAGGCCGGGGGTCCCTGGGTTAGAGTGTCTACTCTTGAGCCAGTCACACTCTCTCAGCCTAACCTGCCTCACAGGGCTGTTGTGAGGATAAAACAGAGGGGAGGAGAATGATGTGAGCCCTTTGGGTCTCCATTGGGGAGAAAAGTGGGATGTACTAAAGTAAAGAAATGCGCAGACTGGCAGAGAGTTCCTGGAATCCCCGGTCTCTCCCAGCACTTGTTCCCAGAGATCCTTTTTCCTTGACTGAGCTGGCAGCCTTCTGCATGCCAGGGGGCATTCGGCTGCCAAGCCGTAACCCCTTCCTGTTGATACCTCGGCTGTGCTGATCTGGACCACTTCTCTCAAGCACTGCCCCTGTTTTCCGCTTGGCAAGCATGGCGGAAACTGTTTTGTCCGATCGTCTCTCAGAGCCCCTTTTGCACCCGGGTTGCTCCGCCCCCGATGTGTGTGAATGGAATGGGGCGGAGTCCAATGTCGGCAGTCCCCTTTTGCACCAGGGTTGCTCCGCCCCCAATGTGTGTGAGCGGAACGGGGCGGAGACCAATGTCTGCAGTCCCCTTTTTGCACCAGGGTTGCTCCGCCCCCGATGTGTGTGAGCAGAATGGGGCGGAGTCCAATGTCGGCAGTCCCACCGCCTTGCGTTGTCTCCTTCTAACGGCCTCCCCCTCTTTTCCTGGCAGGTTCTGGTTCCGCCTCTACTGGTTCCCCCTCAAGGTGCTGTATGCCACCTGCCACTCCAGCCTCCGCTCCGTGCCCAACATCCCTTTCTACTTCTTCTTCAACGCTTTGCTCTTCATCCTCACGCTGATGAATCTCTATTGGTTTACGGTGAGTAGCAAGCAGTGCCGTGGGGGCCATTGTGGTGTAGAGGCCCAGGGAGTTGGGTTCAGATCTGGGAGACACAAGCTCAGATCCCTGCTCTGCTGTGGAAGCTTGCCGGGTGACCTGGGGCCAGTCACGCAGGGTTGCCAGCAATGCTCCCTCTAAGCTATGGAGTCCTGTGAGCAAAAATCCTACTTTGTGAGCGACTGGCATTCAAGTTGTGAGCGAGTGATTCGGCTACTGCATAAATTGGTTTGCTCTGGAGCCCTCCTTCCTGAGCTCAGACAAAAAAGTGTGAGCCGGAGACTAAAAAACTGGGAGCTCGCTCACACTGACTCAGCCTAGAGGGAACACTGGTTGTGAGGATAAAATGGAGGAACAGGAAAGCATGTAAGCCAATTCAGGTCCCCAGTGAGGAGAAACGTGAGGTATGAATAAAGTAAATAAAAATAATTGATGAACAGAAGCTACTGAGGAAGAATCAGCACGGATTCTGTGAGGGGAGATCTTGTCTCACTAACCTTTTAGAGTTCTTTGAGGGGGTGAACAAACATGTGGACAAGGGTGACCCAGTCGATGTTGTTTACCTAGACTTCCAGAAAGCTTTCAACATAAGAACATAAGAGACGCCAATGTTGGATCAGGCCAAAGGCCCATCCAGCCCAACACTCTGTATCACACAGTGGCCAGAAATACCAGTGCCATCAGGAGGTCCACCAGTGGGGCCAGGACATTAGAAGCCCTCCCACTGTTGACCCCCCCCGCCCAAGCACCAAGAAGACAGAGCATCACTTGCCCCAGAGCCCCTATCTATACCTTGTGACTAATAACCACTGATTGGACCTCTGCTCCATATGCTTATCTAATTCCCTTTTGGAGCCGTCCATGCTTGTAGCCGCCACCACTTCCTGTGGCAGTGAATTCCATGTGTTAATCACTCTTTGGGTGAATAGATAGAGAAGGTGGATAGAGAAGGTGGAGAAAAAAGTACTTTTCTTCCTTTCTCACAATACAAGAACCTGTGGGCACGCGATGACGTTAATAAGCCGTAGGCTTAGGACAGATAAAAGGAAGTCCTTCTTCACCCAAAGAGTGATGAACACGTGGACTTCACTGCCACAAGAAGTGGTGGTGGCTACAAGCACAGTCAGCTTCAAAAGGGGATTGGATAAACATACGGCGCAGAGGTCCATCAGTGGCTATCAGCCACAAGGTATAGATGGGACACTCTGTCTGGGGCAGGGATGCTTGGGGGGGGGCAACAGTGAGAGGGCTTTTGGAGTTCTGGCCCTGCTGGTGGACCTCCTGATAGCCCCTGGGTTGTAGCCACTGTGTGACACAGAGTGCTGGACAGGGTGGGCCACTGGCCTGATTCAACAGGGCTTCTCTTATGTTCTTAACTGGAGCTGACGAGCTCCAGACGCCTCAGAGGGGTGTTGAGCCCCATGGCATGCAGGCTTGCTGGTTTTGTGTGGTTGCATCACGTAACTTGGTGACAGTTGACGGGTCCAGATTTATCCTTGGCTATCTGTGCCATCAGTCATCCTTGCTGCAAGGTATTCTAGATCTTCAGATGAGTCCCACCCCCTCCAAAATTAACTTGCTCTTGAGAACGCCGCCCTGAGCCTACGGGGAGGGCGGGATAAAAATCTAAATAATAAAATAAAAACACCGGGTTGGCAGCGCCTTCTATCTTCTCCCGGCGGGGTCCACATGTTGTTGTAATTTTTCTGGTTTCTTTCTGGCTGCCCGGCGACCTTCTCCCGGAGGCTCGGTGTTTTTGCGCGCGACAGAACTATGCCTGTGCGTGCACTGAGTGATGTCGAATTGTAACACAGTAAAATTCCCTAGTAAGAAGAAGAAAAAAACCCCTAGGATGCGATAGAGAGAGATTGTGGTCAAGCCTGCAGTGCTGGCTTTCTGCTTGCAGGGGACGTTTTCCATAGGGGAGCCCTCAAAAATGGGATTCTCGGGATAAAATAATAGAAGAAATAATGATCATAACCAAAATCAAGATAGACAAATCCCCGAAAGCTCTGCTTTTAACTCTCAGAGAGGAAAATGCTCTATCTAATATCAAAAGAAAAGAATCTCTCTATTACTTTTTGCAGCCAAAACCACATTAGCAACCACATGGAAATCCACGAGTAGGCTCAATGTAAACCTCTGGTACAAAAAGCTATGGAACCTTTATATAATGGAGAAAATCTCAGATACTCTGAAACAAAATCTATCTAGAGGTGGTCAGAATGACATTGTATGTATATGGTACCCCATCCTAGTACATCTATCTACCAAAGAAACAGGACCTGATGTAATAAACACTCTGCATCTATGGTAATTTTCAAACTGTATAATACCGACAAATTGTACGAAATGTATGAAGCCATTGAGAGCTGACTAGGCTCATGCTTACCTTGTAAATCTTTGCTGTTTATAAAAATGAATAAAAATTATCTGTTAAAAAAAGGGATTCTCCCCCAATACCCAGTGTTCCCTCTATGCTGAGTTAGTGTGAGCTAGCTCACAGTTTTTTAGCCTCCGGCTCACACATTTTTGTCTTAGCTCAGGAAGGATGGCTCCAGAGCAAACTAATTTATGCAGTAGCCAAATCGCTCACTCACAGATTTAATGCCGGTAGCTCACAAAGTAGAATTTTTGCTCACAAGACTCCACAGCTTAGAGGGAACATTGCCAATACCCATACCTGCTGCAGTGCTGCCAGTCTGTTCCCAACTCTTTATTAGGGTTCCATTTTGCCACAAAAAAGATCGGGCCGCTGCTCTTGCTTATCTTTTCCAGCTTACCTGTCTACCTACCCACTTACCTGATTGATGCCCCACCTTTCTGCCCAATCAGGGACGGTTCTGATGTCACAGGGAAGCCCACAAACACGCCCCACTGTCAATGCCCCTCTTTTGCTGACTGCTTCCTACCTTTTTTGCCATTCTGTGATTGTCCTGCAGTGTTCCCTCTAAGCTGAGTTCGTGTGAGTTAGCTCACCGTTTCTAAGCCACCGGCTCACACATTTTTGTCTTCGCTCAGGAAGGAGGGTTCCAGAGCAAACTAATTTGTGCAGTATCCAAGTCACTCGCTCACGCCTTTAATGCCAGTAGCCGGTTTGGTGTAGTGGTTAAGTGCACGGACTCTAATCTGCGAGAACTGGGTTTGAGTCCCCACTCCTCCACTTGCAGCTTCCTTTAATTGTGATGAGCGTTAAAGCCGCAAGGTTTACCCCAATCAAAGTATCCATTGCTGATGAAAACTTTCCCTCTTCCCTTCTTTTGTCTTCTTTCTTCTTCTGGAACGCCCTCCTGAGGAAACCATGGGGCGACTAAAATAGTCGAAAGCCCAGTAGCACCTTTAACGCTAACAAACTTTACTGTAGCATAAGCATTTGAGAAGCACAGCTCTCTTTGTCAGGTGCATGGAGGGTATGAAGAAACCGGCCACAGATGTATACCCTGCTTCCCCGAAAATAAGACCTACCCTAAAAATAAGCCCCAGCAGGATTTCTATGCATTTGTGGTATAAGCCCTAGTGTGTCTTCTTGAGAAAAAATAAATATAAGACAGTGTCTTATTTTCGGGGAAACACGGTAGGTGGTAAGGGGAGGGGGGGATGCAGAAAGTGCCAAGTAAATGCCCTATCTTTGTAAGCCACCCTGAGCCTGCTTCGGCGGGGAGGGTGGGGTATAAATCAAATAAATAATTTTTATTTGGTTCCCCTCCTCCATTTTTCTTTGGAACAGTGAGGTTACCTGGAACCTCTGCTTAATTAAATCTTAGTCTCACAAAGGATCAGCATGTACTTTTACAACAGGCTCGGCTCCAAGTTACGGCAAAAATGTTGTGGCTGTCAGAGTTGGGCAAGCCATAGTTCTGTCAGAGTTGTTCTTGAAAAAGAGCAGCTTCTGTCCGAGCTCTCTCAGCCCCACCTACCTCACAGGGTGTCTGTTGTGGGGAGGGGGAGGGAAAGGAGTTTATAAGTCACTCTGAGACTCCTTAGGGTAGTAAAGGGCGGGGTATAAATCCGATCTCCTTGTTCTTCTAAACAAAGCCAGTATGGTGTAGTGGTTAAGATCGTGGGCTCTAATATGGGAGACCCGGGTTTGATTCCCCACTCCTCCACATGCAGCTGCTGGTGTGACCTTGGGTGTCACAAGTTCTCTCAGAGCTGTTCTCTCAAAGGTATGTAGATATGTAGGGTGTCTGTTGTGGGGAGGGGAAGGGAAAGGAGATTGTAAGTCGCTCTGAGACTCCCTTGGGTAGTGAAGGGCGGGGTATAAAGCCAATCTCCTCCTCCTCCTCCTCTTCTTCTCCTTCCGCCCCCAAAGTAGCATTTTTGCTCACAAGACTCCACAGCTTAGAGGGATTGCCTCTGAACTCAGCAGTCCCATTCAGCTCTTGAGGCTAACAGCCAGCGACAGACCGTCCTCCATAAAATCTGCCCAATCTGCTTTTAGGTTGATTTTACCCCTGTGGCTGTCAAACCTTGCGGCTGTGGGTTCCCCAAGTCAAACTGAAGCATTCTGTGAAGCGGTTCTTCCGTTTGTCTGTTGCGAACCGACTGCCGGTCAGTCTCGCGGGGACGGAGGTTGACCGGGCCCTCTCCCCCTCTCTCCACAGTACATCGTCCTCTTTGTGGTGAAGATCTTGATGGGACAGGTGGAGGAGGTGAATGACGTGCGGGAGTATGACGCCGACGCCGGGAGGAAGGCCGCAGACCTCCAGAAGAACGACGAGAAGCTGCACTGGAAGGAAAGGTAGCTGAAACCGGGGAGGAGGAAGCAACACCTGAGCCCCTCTCGCCCCCTACTTCGTTGGCCGCCCGGGCCGGGCAACCAGGCTCCAGTGGAGATGCCCTTCCCTGCTCTGTTGGAAGCTGCCTGGTGCAGAATCTGACCTCAGAAAGAGGCCAATGGGCAGGACAAGGGTTTTTTCTTCTGACCTCTGCGGGGATCCTTGACCCAGAGACCCCAGGGAGTTGGCGCAGGCCATTCCGTCTGCAGCGTGGGGACTCTAACCCTTGGGTTACAGCCAGTTTGAGAGCCAGTTTGGCGTGGCGGTTAGGAGCGCGAACTCTAATCTGGGAGAACTGGGTTGGATTCCCCACTCCTCCACATGCAGCTGCTGGTGTGACCTTGGGTCAGTCACAAGTTCTCTTGGAGCTGTTCTCTCAAGGGCAGTTCTTGAGAGAGCTCTCTCAGCCCCTCCTACCTCGCAGGGTGTCTGGTGTGTGGAGGGGGGGGAAGGGAAAGGGCTTGTGTGCTGCTCTGAGACTCCTTCAGGTAGTGAAGGGCGGGGTATAAATCCAATCTCCTCCTCCTCCTCCTCTTCTTCTTCAGAGAAGAAAAACAGGTTGCTTACCTGTAACTGATGATCTTCGAGTGGTCATCTGTGCAGTCACACCTATGCCTGAGAGGGAGGCGCGAAAATCCCTTTGTGAGCTTTGCATACCACCGATTCGGATCAGCACAGGCGCATAATCCCATAGGTGTGACCAGTGTTTCCTCTAAGCTGAGTTAGTGTGAGCCAGCTCACAGTTTTTTAGCCTCCAGCTCACAGTTTTTTGTCTTAGCTCAGGAAGGGATGGCTCCAGAGTAGGCTAATTTATGCAGGAGCCCAATCGCTCGCTCACAGCTTTAATTCCAGTTGCTCACAAAGTAGAATTTCTGCTCACAAGATTCCACAGCTTAGAGGGGACATTGGGTGGGACTGCACAGATCACCACGAAGAAGATGAGCTGTTTATTTTTATTTATTTATTTATTTTATTCATTCATTTAATTTATATCCCGCCCTCCCTGCCATGGCAGGCTCAGTGTGGCTCACATAAAATATAAAACAATTAAAACAGAATTAAATGAAAACAGAGCAATACAGTTCAGAGTGTTATAAAATACAAAGTGCTAGTTTATGTCAGACGGCGGGCTTAGCCGCATCCTCAGACAGTGGCCGGCCAATAGCATAGTCTGGGTCAACTGGCTGTTGACAATGTGGTTAGTGTTGGGCCAGGGCTACAATTTCTTGGGTGCGGCTCCCTCATTGAAGGCCTGGTGGAAGAGCTCCGTCTTGCAGGCCCTGTGGAACTGTAAGAGGTCCCGCATTCCGCCAGTCCAGAGCCACCACTGAAAAAGCCCTGGCCCTAGTCGCAGCCAGCCTGGATTCTCTAGGGCCCGGTAGGGCCAAGCGGTTTTGGGACCCCGGTCGTAGTGCTCTCTGGGGAACGTGTGGGGAAAGGCGGTCCCTTAGGTATCTAGGTCCCTGACCATATAGGGCTTTAAAGGTCAGAACCAGCACCTTGAACCGAATTCGGTATGCTATAGGCTGCCAACGCAGTGCTTTTAGCGCAGGTCAGATGGGCTCCCGCATAGGGAGGCCCAACAACTGTTTGTGCTGTAGATCTGTCCCCCACCCGCCCCCACCCTGTATGAACTTACGAAGGTGTCTGATTCCAAGTCAGCAGATCCCGGGTCCAGCTAGACCGCTCCTCATTGTTCTGACCAGTGTTCCCTCTAAGCTGAGTTAGTGTGAGCTAGCTCACAGTTTTTTAGCCTCCGGCTCACACATTATTGTCTTAGCTCAGGAAGGATGGCTCTAGAGCAAACTAACTTATGCAGCAGTCAGTTCACCTGCTCACAACTTTAATGCCAGTAGCTCACAAAGTAGAATTTTTGCTCACAGGGCTCCGTAGCTTAGAGGGAACATTGGTTCTGACCCAGCCTCCTATCAGTAAAACAGATGTTTCCATGCTCCAGCATCCAGTTTAGTCTTGTCTGCTCCGACGAGCAGAAGCTCTCCCAGGCCTGCCCAGCACCTGCCGATAAAATGCCAGGCTTTGATTAGAGTTGCCAGCTCCGATTCGGGACATTCCTGGACATTTGGGGGGGCGGAGTCTTGGGAAGGCGGGGCTTGGGGAGGGGAGGGGCCTCGGCGGGTATAATGCCACAGAATCCACCCTCCAAAGATGCTGTTTTTTCCGGGGGACCTGATCTTGGTCGATTGCAATTCCCGGAGATCTCCAGACCAATGTTCCCTCTAAGCTGTGGAGTTTCATGAGCAAAAATTCTACTTTGTGAGCTACTGGCATTCAAGTTGTGGCTGCAGCATAAATCAGTTTGCTCTGGAGCCATCCTTCCTGAGCTGAGACAAAAGTGTGTGAGCCAGAGGCTAAAAAACTGTGAGCTAGCTCACCCTAACTCAGCTTAGAGGGAACACTGCTCCAGACCCCGCCTGGAGGTTGGCAAGGACCTGGGCAAGGAGAGGCGTGGCTTCCCCTTCCAGGGCTCTTTTTGTAGAAAAAGCCCAGCAGGAACCCATTAGCATAATAGGCCACACCCAACAGAAACTCATTAGCATATTAGGCCACACCCCTGCCAGCACAGCTCATTGGCACATTAGGCCGCACCCCCATGTTACCAGAAGTGTGGTCATCCAGCCACACCCACCTTTCCCTTCTTATTCTGTTTACCTTGGTTTGTTGTCAAAACCCAGGGCGTTTTTGTAGCAGGAACTCCTTTGCATGTTAGGCCACACACCCCTAATGTAGCCAATCCTAATGAGTTTCTGCTATTGGGTGTGGCCTATTATGCTAATGCGTTCCTGCTGGGCGTGGCCAACTCAGGAGCCAGCCGGAACTCCGTTCCTGTGCGTTCCTGCCCCAAAATAGCCCTGCCCTTCACAACTGGCACTCGCCCGGCGGACTGTCTGTGGGCAGAACAGGGCCTCGTCTTCCTGCGCAGGTTTTCACGTCTGGTGCCCCTTCGTTCTGAGCAAATTTAGAGTCCAGCGGCACCTTCAAGAACAGCGAAGTTCTAATTATAAAAGTGTGCCTTGCACACAAAAGCTCACACCTCGAATGAACCTTTGATGGTCTTCAAGGTGCCACCGGACTCTAAATTTGTCCTGCTGCTTCAGACCAACACGCTGCCCCACCTGGATCTATCTTCATTCTGAGCCATCAAGGTGGGTAGCCATGTTGGTCTGAAGCCACAGAACAAAGTTAGAGTCCAATGGCACCTTTAAGACCCACAAAGTTTGGTTCAAGGCAGGGGTTATTTCCTGCAGGAGCGCACAGGAGCGGAGCTCCGGCAGTAAGGAGCCCAGGGGGCGGGCACATGCAACAAGCCCCACCCCCTGCTCCCAGCAGCCCTCAGTCGGGCCACGAGGAACAAGCAGCAGCCAAGTAAGTTGCAGAGCCACCCCCACCGGCCCGCCTTCAGGTACAAGCTCTCTCTCCTCTGTGAGGGCAGATCTGCACGTTCCCCCCCCCCATAGCTAGCAATCCAAAACAGTCCAGTGGCACCTTTAAGACCAAGTTTTATTCAGGTACAAGCCCTCCCTCCTCTGCGAGGGCAAATCTGCACGGCCCCCCCCCCCATAGCTAGCAATCCAAAACAGTCCAGTGGCACCTTTAAGACCAAGTTTCATTCAGGTACAAGCTCTCCCTCCTCTGCGAGGACAGATCTGCACGTCCCCCCCCCAATAGCTAGCAATCCAAAACAGTCCAGTGGCACCTTTAAGACCATATTTCATTCAGGCACAAGCTCTCCCTCCTCTGCGAGGACAGATCTGCACGTTCCTCCCCACTCCCAATAGCTAGCAATCCAAAACAGTCCAGTGGAGCCTGAGCGGGGGGTGCTGCCTTCTGACACGCTTCCGGTGATGTCAGGGGGCGTGGCATAGGCAAATGAGTTATGCCAATGAGTTATGCTAATGAGCGCCTGCACCTCTTTTTCCACGCACACGAAAGCTCACACCTTGAATAAAACTTTGTCGGTCCGCAAGGGGCCACTGGACTCCAACTTTGTTCATTCCGAGCAGCTCTTCTTCCCCTCTGATCTCACCGGTCCCGATCCGTCCCGCTCTCCCACCGTCCCTCTCGCTCCCCCCCCCTTGTCCTTTTGGTCCGAAGCCCTTTTGGTTCAGCCGCTGCTCTTGTCCTTTGCAGGAAACACCTCATGAACGGGATCGTGAAGGACAAGCGCCTTTGAGAGGGGAACGGACGCGCCCCGGGGAAGGACTTGCCCAGCCCTGCAGCCCCCTGCCTCCTTCGCTCGAGCCCCAGCCAGTTTGGAGAGCTTCCGGCGTGGTCCTGCCCCTCGTTTAATAGGGAGAGCTGGAAGGGGGCGGCCTTCGCGGGGGGCACTGCCTCACGCTCGGCTGGGGTTCCTTCAACGGCACACGTGCGCGACGGGCTGGAGCGAACTGTCGGGTGACTTTTTCTTTGCACTGGTCAGGTGGGAACAGGGTGTTTTTCTTTACAGGCAGGAGAGGACGGAGGACCCCCCCCCGTCTCCCCCTACACTGCCCCATGTGCAGGAGGGCGTGGCCAAGACCAGCCCTGCCCCCCCTGGATCCTTTGGTTAAGGACGGGCACAAGGCGGCGGAGGGGTTTCCTCTCCGCTGTCACCGCTGGAGCCCTGATTGGCTGAGAGAAATGAGAGGGAGGGCCGCCCGTCACTCCAGGAAACCAATCGCTGTGGAGAACCGATGAAGTTCTGGCCCCCGTTTACTGTGGCTGAAGAGGAGGAAGGCCCTGCAGAACTGCTCTCTCTGTTTCTCTCTCTGTCTTTCTCTCTGTGGCCCTTTGATGTATTTTTTGGGATATGTCTTCTGCCCTTGCCCTGTTTGGAGAGAAGATGTCCATCTGTCCCTCCCCTTGGGATACGTGTAAATGGATGAGGAATCATAGAGAGTGACCACTGGAGAAGTAGCAAACTCGTTCGGGAAATTTCCTTTTAAAAAAATGTTTTGTTTGTCTACGTAAGTGTATTTCGGCCGTCAAAAGTGAGCAGGTTACTGAGGGGGGGGGGAGACGGTGAAGGAAATCGACTGCTGTGAACGTTGTCTGTGGTCTGTAAATATTTGTGCTCGACTAATGGGGTACGAAAAGGTCACTCCACGCATCCTGCTCGACCTTTTGATGCGTTGGCACCACTGGGGCAAAGCCTCACAGAGGCCGGCGGAACCTCCACGGGCAGTGACAGTCTTTCTGCAAAATAGCAGGTACCAGGGAGGACAGGCGCCTTTCTTGCTGGAAGCCTCCGTCCATCCGTAGCCCAAAAGCAGCTGTACCTTCCAGGCCTCATCCCGCCTACTATTTTGCTCCGTCCACAAGCTCCATGGAATGGGAAGGGAACCCAGGCGGGGCGATTTGGTCTCTTGGAATGGTCTGCCCCAAGGCCAGAACGTCAGCCACAAATTACACCTGCCAGATTTAGAAACGGCTTTGCTCTCTTCCCTGCCGGCAAAATCAAGCGGCGAGTTACTACTTCTATATTCCTTTCCAGACTGTTGATGTGCCGGCAATCTCATCGTAATGAACTGTCAGGTACCAGGAACCTCATGTGAGGTTGAGGAGGCAGAGGCAGAGACTGAGAGAGAGAGCGCGCATCCCCACGAGTTAGCATTAATCCTGTTGCGGAGCTTAGGGCCGGCCCTACGCTTGGGCAGACATGGGGACCAAATTTGGGAGTGCTGTTCAAAAGAAGAAGAGGCGATTGGATTTATACCCCCCGCCCTTCGCTCCCCAGAGGAGTCTCAGAGCGGCCTACAAACTCCTTTTCCCTTCCCCTCCCCACAACAGACACCCTGCGAGGTAGATGGGGCTGAGAGAGCTCTCTCGAGGACTGCCTTTGAGAGAACAGCTCTGAGAGAACTTGTGACACCCAGGGCTCTTTTTGTAGAAAAAGCCCAGCAGGAACTCATTAGCATAATAGGCCACACCCAACAGCAGGAACTCATTAGGCTATTAGGCCACACCCCTGACAGCACAGCACATTAACATATTAGGCCGCAGCCCCATGTTACCAGAAGTGTGGTCATCCAGCCACACCCACCCTTTTGCTTCTTATTCTGTTTACCTTGCTTGTTGTCAAAACCCAGGGCCTTTTTTGTAGCAGGAACCCTTTGCATGTTAGGCCACACACCCCTAATGTAGCCAATCCAAATGAGTTTCTGCTGTTGGGTGTGGCCTGTTATGCTAATGAGTTCCTGCTGGGCGTGGCCAACTCGGGAGCCAGCCGGAACTCCGTTCCTGTGCGTTCCTGCCCAAAAATAGCCCTGGTGACACACATGGTCGCAGTTGCACGTGGAGGAGTGGGGAATCAAACCCGGTCCTCCCAGATTAGAGTCCGCACACTTAACCACAACACCAAACTGGTGGAGACGGGAGGGAGGCAGAAAACAGTCTGGAAGTTGTGCAGCTGTAGTTCCCTCCCTTGTTGCTGGAGGTGGGGGAGTACTCTGGGGGAACTCCCTTTATAGAAAGACTTGCTTCCTGTCCAGAGGCCTGGAAGTAGCATATGGGGGGGGGGGATGGTCGATCTGACAGGAGCAGAAAACTCGTAAGAATCAAATAATCTGGGGTCAAATAATCTCTCCTGGGGCCTTCAGTGGGAGAAGGTGGTTTTCTACCCCGCCCTTCGCTACCTGGAGGCATCTCAAAGCAGCTTACAATCTCCTTTCCCTTCCCCTTCCCCTCCCGACAGCAGACACCCTGTGAGCAATGCTCCCTCTAAGCTGTGGATTCCTGTAAGCAAAAATTCTACTTTGATAGCTACCGGCATTAAAGCTGTGAGTGAGCGATTTGGCTGCTGCATCAATTAGTTTGGCTCTGGAGCCCTCCTTCCGGAGCTAGGACAAACACATGTGAACCGGGGGCTAAAAAACGATGAGCTAGCTCACACTAACTCAGCTTAGAGGGAACACTGGTCAAGAGTCAGGCATTGGCGACGGATTTCCATGAGAACTAGAAACTCGCTGCTTTTTTAATTTTAGGAGCTGGCAATTTTGAGCTTTGGTCAACTAAGTGATCACCGTTGCCTAAATTTGCATATAAAAGAGAAGCCCGTGCCGCCTCCTGTTGTGGAGTTACTGTTGATGGGCCTGTCTGCCATGAACCTGTGTGACGTAGGACCTCACCATTCACAGTCTGGCAGTTCGCCTGACTTCCTGTCCTCCCCCCCCCATTATGTCGGCCTTTTTCGTCCCACCAGGCCACCATCACGATCATCAGATCGTTAAATTTGGCAGGAAATACGCCTGCCTCCCACTTCTGTTTCCAGATTTCACCATTCACAGTGATACTGGGAACAGATACCCACCCACCTCCATGAGTGGTCGGGGTCTACTCTAATCCTCTTTGGCTGTCCGGTATTTTTGAGCGCTTCGATGATTAATTTTTAAGAACCCGTCCGGCTCAGTTCACCTTTTCCCCGTGACCACACAGCTGAGATTCTTTGCATGGTGAATTCTGCGGGTGCTGCAACTCCGTTCGGAGAACCCCGATAGCTTTGGTCCCTCAGCGAAATCCACTTTGCTAGAAAAAGGCACAAAGTTTACCAGTTGTTCGTGAGGTTTGGAAAACGCAGAGAAACGTGTGTTATTTAAAAAAAAATACATGCCTGGATTTATTGGGGTCTGTCTTCAACAGGAAATGAAGAGTAACAAAAGTTGTCTCTTGTAAAAATTAAACTGGCTTCTCTGTTTGTTTAAAAGGCACCAGGTGTGAGAGTCACCTGAGGTTCTTCGTCAGCTGCAAACACATATCTGAAATCAGTGATTTGCTTATTGGAAATGGCAAGGAATTGGGACAGGGAAATCCGATCCTGGAGGGAGTGGTAATTTGGGGTTAATCTCTCTCTGATCACAACCCAGAAGAAAGCTCTATAAGAAGCAGGCAGGAATTGTCTGGCTTTCTGAGTGAAATTGTTCCGAGCAGGGGATGTGGCAGTGTTACCGTATGCGAAGTATTAGAAACGTTTTCTGACTTCACCAGGAACATGAAAAACCTGATGATTTCTGACCACTGAAGTGTTGTTGTTTTTTAAAGGCACGAACAATGTCCAGTCGACACACAAACCTCTCCTCTTCCTGTGACTGTACGGACAGCACGAGCTATACGGTTTTCGAGTTGCAACCGAGATGCCTCCTTTGAGCCAATTTTAGCATAATTTTTGCACCCTTTTGCACTTCCTCTGGGTGTTCAGGTGGATGAACAGGGGGAAATGTTTTAACAAACGCAACTTTGTTTTAGCTAAATGCTGGCTAGCACGTGGGGGGAATTCTCATTAAAACCACGCTTGTAAGAGCGGTCATGACACGCTTGTCTGTGTGTTGTAAACTTTGTTGCGCGGGGGGGGGGTCTGTGCTCAGGAAATTTCATCTGGTTCGGGGTTCGGTGGGGGGGGGGTGTCTTTTGCCACAATTCAGAAAAGGGAACAGAATTCAAGTTCTTAAGACTCAGGCGGAGATGTATTTGAAGGAATGCCTGCAGTCTAGTAGTATCCACTGCTGAGGGGGAGACAGGAGCATATGTTCATAGATTCATAGAGTTGGAAGGGACCTCCAGGGTCACCTAGTCAGGGGTCGTTTCGTAGAAAAAGAGGTGCAGGAGCTCATTAGCATAACTCATCACCACAACTTATTTGCATATGCCACACGCCCTGACATCACCGGAAGTGTGTCAGAAGGCAACACCCACCGCTCAGGCTCCACTGGACTGTTTTGGATTGCTAGCTATGGGGGGGGGGGCATGCAGATCTGCCCTCACAGAGGAGGGAGAGCTTGTACCTGAATAAAATTTAGTCTTAAAGGTGCCACTGGACTGTTTTGGACCGGGGCCCCGGGGGGAGCTCGGGGGGGGCTCTGCAGCTTACCTGGCTGCTTCTTGGTCTGACTGAGGGCTGCTGGGAGCAGGGGGTGGGGCTTGTTGCATGTGCCCGCCCCCTGGGCTCTTTACTGCCGGAGCTCCGCTCCTGTGCGCTCCTGCAGGAACTGACCCCTGCACCTAGTTCAACCTCCTGCACAATGCAGGAAATTCACATATACCTCCCCCCCACACACACACACACCCAGTGACCAGTGTTCCACGCCCAGAAGATGACAAAAGACCTTCAGGATCCCCAGCCAAACTGGCCTGGAGAAAACTTGCTCCCTGACCCCAAAGTGGTGATCAGCATTTCCCTGGGCGTGTAAGAGAGGGCCACAAGAACTAAGCACTGAGGCAACCCTTCCTGCCCTCCCTCTCATGATAAAGAGTGTTTGTGGGAAGGACGCTGTGTCGGGGAAGTTCTCGTGTTTAAGCGGCTGATGCTATCTTGCAAAAATTGACATTTGTATCCAACGCTCCCTCTAAGCTATGGAGTCTTGTGAGTCAAAATTCTACTTTGTGAGCTACTGGCATTAAAGTGAGTGAGCGAGCGATTTGGCTGCTGCATAAATTAGGTTGCTCTGGAGCCCTCCTTCCTGAGCTAAGACAAAAATGTGTGAGCCGGAGGCTAAAAAACTGTAAGCTAGCTCACACTCACCTTAGAGGGAACACTGTATCCTGAATTTACTCCTGCTTTGAGGAAAATAATGTTTGAAACACGGCTTTACGCTGGCTTCCGTACCAGCAGGATCCGACGTTCTTCTAACCGAATGACGTGTGGAGCACATCTTCCCTTTGGGAGTATTCTTCCCATTTGAAGGATTATTGTCCCTGAGGACTTCGACAAAGGTTGTGGACTTCTATAAAGGACCAAGCAAAGACTGTAACTTAACTTTATTTATGAAAATCGCGACAATTAATATATGTGCACAATTGGCAACCTCCTTTGAGGGCAGGTGCCTGCTTCACCTCTGCATTTAGGAGCAACTAGAATGGCAGGCCACACTTTCAACCGACTGCTCCCCCCCTCCAGTCTGATTGGAAGGATACGGAACCAGAACAGCATGTCATGCAGAAAGGAAGCGATACCAAATCAGAGATGCGATGGGCACACTCCTTTTTGTGTCGTGCTCATTGGGGCATTTTAATCGCCTCCTGAGCTTCTTTCTTGTACAGTTCTGCTTTGTAGGGTTGCCAGCCTCCAGGCGGGGCCTGGTAATGAATAAATATACACTGCAAGAGAACGTGTTCTATTTGTGACTATCCTTCTATAAAGTGCATAATGACCAGAGAACGTGAATAGTATGCAGTCTTTGCCAATGACAGGAGCGCTCGGTCCATGAATCTTAGCTGTGCAATGTATCTTGTAGGACCGGCAATAAGCAACAGAATACAATTGTGCAAATAGAAGCAGGCTTACAATTCCAGAAACTCCCGTTGGGGTTTGACTTTTTAAAAAATTGATGTGAAATTGACTGATAGTTGCTAATTTGAATGAACGGAATTACCTGATGAGGATGTAAAAATGGCACATTATGCACTTTATAGAAGGATCGTTACAAATAAAACATGTTAATGTATACATCTCTTGTGTATACTTATTCCTTACCAGGCTTTCCTAACACTGCAGGTGGGCTTGCTACAACCCCCAGGTGGGGCCTGGGGAATCTCCCGCTTTTACAACTGATCCCCAGCTGACAAGAGACCAGCTCCTCTGGAGGAAATGGCTGCTTTGAAGGGCAGACTCCGTGGCCTTGGGCCATGCTGAGGCCCCTCCCCTCCCCAAACCCCCC